TAGATAGATGGATCGGATAAACGGTGTTAAATATCAAATCAAAACTAAGATTACATGTATTGTAAATCAAAAGATAATATTTTGAGCGAGATACAATAGGCTGACAGAACATTTTTATGGTTCACTTCACGATCAGGGCGCTTAATCAAATAAAATGTTTAGCATGGATAAAGAACAAAGTTGTGATTTAATTGATGAGGGTACCAGTACAAGAGAAGCATTCAATAATCCAGTTTGTATAGCCCTATTCTTGGGGATAAATAAACACAAAGGCGGTTATATTGTTTACTTTTCTATTGCACTTCAATACATTTACCTCTTAAGACTTTAAATGTGTTTAGTTGTATACTCATAACCTGTCAGGACGTTTAAATTTTTCTCCGTAACTACCAATGGAATTCTTTGAACAACGTTACCTGACGTTATTTACCCATTGCTCTCTCTTGGCATCGGAAACCCATCTGCAGAATGGCGGAAGGATGCTGCGTGTTTACAATTTAAAATTTCCAGTGAGCTATTCAAAAATAAGTTACCAAAGATTGATATACTTGATCTTCCTGTCGTCAAATAGTCCTATAACGTGAACGGATTTAGAAAAGCTATGACGTATAATTGTTTACTTTTTACAAATTGTGACTTGGATGGAGAGTTGTATCCTTGGCAGTCAAACTACATCTTCTAATGATTTTCTAGCCTACTGTTGCGACAAAAAAACTAAACAACCACCCGTACCATACAGATTAGACATGACCATATATGTAACGACAGATTTTATGAAATAGAAATGCAACATTCATAGTTTTTATCACATATAGGTCTTTTGTTTCGACTTTGAAGAAACATCCAGACTTCCAAATGTTTTGCCTAATTCTATAATTTTTAGAGTGTACATTATTAAACCCAAGCTTCAATGGAAGATACAAAGTATGTAGGGAGGGAACATGATTATCAAAACGCATCATGTCAATGGCGCTCGATCCCCTCACCACCCATTTGATGGGAAAATATACATTTTTCCAGTACAAAATCGTCCAAACTTATTTCCGTTTTAGGAAATTACGCCCCTTTTCAAAATATAGAATCCCAACTGCATTTAAATATACAGTTTTGAAAACTACCTATAATTTACTGATGACCTCTTGAAACGTTTTAAATCATTGAATAGAGAAATTATGTTCCTATATGCTTTCAATTGGCTTATGCAGAGTTTGGCTCGAGTTTTAGTTCGAGCGCTATTCAAAGACCGAGATGAGTTTTAAATGCAAGTTATTCGACCTATTTAATATGTATACATAGTATACAACACGCAATATAAGGCATAAACACTGCAAAGCATGTCAAACTTGTATTTGAGCAAACATGCTAACATGCTAACATATTAAATTAAATAATGGCTGGTAAAAAGAAGATAAGTGTATAGTAACTTTAGGTATGTCAACATTTACTTGAAGTTTGCAGTTGATAGAAAAATAAAGTCTTACCACGTGCATTGTAGCAAATTTCCTCATTTTCAGTTTTAATATTTATATTTCCCATAAAGATGATATACGTTTAAAATATTTTAGTTGGAACAAAGAGATTATTCATAGTTTAATCAAATTAAATTTTTTTAATACTTTAATTCGTTAGAATGGGCAGTTTGAAGCGATTATATTTTAAATTAATCTAATTTTAATTTTTAAAAAACATAAACATTGCCAAGTTAAAAGATTGTACAGACAAAATATAAGCTGTGGTTGTGATTCGGATGAGATTTGCAGATTTTTTCAAATTGAGCGTTTGAAACAAATGTCACGGTTATTTCAATTTGCGCAATGCGCACAATCAAGTATATATCACTTGAAAAGACGCCACTGTCTGTCATTAAGATCTGCTGTAGTGAACTTTTCTGCATAGCGTTTCAAACAGTGGCCAAAGTTAATCAATTTAATTGCACTATATATATAGCGTTTGAAAATGATTTCACTGCCTATTAATGTGTACGACACAGCCCTTTGGGTTTTAGTGAAACCAAGCATTGTCATTGGGATAATCCAACAGATTTTAAAACTGAAAATAACGTGGAGGTCCAAATTGACTTCAGTTGAAATTGACTCTTTTTGCGCTCCTTTTATTCAATCTAAAGTGTTGAGGTTCACATCTACACATTAGGCTCTAACAATGCACAATATTAAAGTCTAATATTATTTCCCATTATCTTTAATGATAACTTAAAGATATGTTCTGAATTAGGTACTCACATATCCTGAGTATGTATGAAATATTCGTCACTGGACGTTTAGCAAGCAAAATTCAATCAATTGATCTATCATAAAATTGAGAATGGAAATGGGAAATGTGTCAAAGAGACAACAACTCGACCATAGAGCTGCAGTCGAGGGCCTCCAATGGGTTTTCAACACGCGAAAAAAGCCCGCACCCGAAATAAAAAATGAAAAATAAAAATGTGTACTTATTCAGTGAAAATGGACGTCATATTTCAAAACATCTTATGTGTCTATTTTGAACAGATCGTTGATAGTCACTGTTAAATTTTTAGAATCATCTATTAGTTTTTATTTCTTATTTCAGATAAGGCTGACAATAAAAGCTTTTTGTACAAAACAAAATCTAAAAAATACATGTACTTACATCATTGTCAATACTGTCACCTAATAATCCCATTCTCAATCTAAATTCCTGCATTCTGAGAATAGAATACACGTAAATGATTTCAATAAAATAAGAAGTACATGTATCCCTTGAAATGTACACGGATATTGTCGTACGAAGTAAAATTACCAGAAGTCTTTATTAACCTAAGTTTATTTGTTAATATTTGTTGATTGATGATAATATTAAGCCTAAAATGCAGTGCTGTTTTGCTATGTAAATATTTAGAAGTGCTTATCTAATCGTTTGTGTACATTGTATTGAAAGGGATATTGGAATATTATTGATTTACAGACATTTTTATTCTTCGGTTAAGTTTTAAAGAGTTTAAGTTCTATTTGAAAATCAACCATTTAAAAGAACTTCATTTTCGATGTTTATATAGCAGGGAGTTCGGGTCATGAGGTTAATACTTTGTTTCTTCGACGCTAATGATAGAGTTTACATGTAGCAATTATGATCTCAAATTACAATGCATCAACAAAGGTCCAATGTTTATTTCAGTTACTTCATACAATGAGGATCTATTCACACTTCAAATTTTTTGACGATATATTTTTTGAGATCTTTACCGGTTAACACATAGACACTGATACCATTAACAGTGTATTATCAAATGTTAAGATTAACAGAACTACTTTTTTCAGCGGTGGATTAGAGGGTCGTAGAGGGTACCCCCTTGACCCCCTTTTGATTATCTGTTTTTTTTTTCATCACATCGTAAAAAAAATCGACTCGCCCTACTCGGTGCTGTTACTTTTACGGACAATTTCGCCCCTTTCCGTGGAAGCTAGATCCTTCCCTTATGTTTTTTTCTTCCCTACTTGACATCAAGAAATGGCATCGGGAAAAAAATAGTAAGTTTAACCTGACGGATAATGTTTGCAATGGTAGTACAGACAACATTTTATATTTAATTTATAAGGTACGATTAAGCAATTGCATTAGAAAAAGAATCATAATTTTATTATGATGCATTTCAATTTTTGCAAAGGTAAAAAATATAGGTATTTTACACTCGCAAATATTTGTTGACGCTTCGCTAAAAACTAAATTTGCGACATAAAAATCAGGAATTACCACCGGAAGGTAAAATAATATGATACGGCCACCCTTAAAACAAATTTTCGTAGTAGCAACTTTTAGCAGGCGGTAATGGGTTGTAAATAACCTGCTAAATAAAGGTAAAATAAAGGGGTGTAAAGATAAAGTTAAAAAAAGTATTTTCCAAAGTAGATATATATAGGAATATACCGGGAAAACTTTGTGAATGGTGAAAAAGATATGATCAAAGGGTAGACGCCAATAGGAAATACACAGATACTTTTAAAGGTTCATGATATAATGTCGCATACTTTTAGTCAAAACATCGTATCTTAACAAATAAACATTCAGTGTAAGCGGGGTAACTCTAGCTCTTATTTCAGCAGTTGCTTAACTTTTCGGAATTTTGAGTCCTCATTGCTCTTCAATTTTGTACTTGTTTGGCTTTATAACTATTTTGATCTGAGAGTCACTGATGAGTCTTATGAAGATGAAACGCGCGTCTGGCGTATTAAATTATAATCCTGGTACCTTTGATAACTATGAACGTCCATTGACAACTATTTCATCCATATTCAGGACGAGAACACATGCAAATACAATAATAATTATTCCGTAATGCAGGTCGACCAGGTTGAGGATGGCAACCGGATAAATGGACCCCTTTCAGAACTGATGCAAGGTTTTTACGATGTGCAGATCTTGGCACTCATCCTGCACTGGAGATTAGAATTAAGGGGGTATACCATATACTACGACTAAAATAGATTTGACTCGTTAAGTTTTCCTAAAGTTTTGACAGAATATTTACTTTGACCTGTTCACAAAAATATGAAAATTTCTAGAAATTTGGTTGAATATATAGCAATTTGACAAACACTACTTTTGATCGTTGAAAAGCTTGATTTCTCCTTAATAAAAGTATGTGATTAAAACGCTTAGCTGAATTTAAGGAGTAAACTCCCTTAGGTGTTCTGTACCCCCTTAACTATTCCGATTGGACACAGCACTGTGTATTTATATAACCTATACAACATTATTGCCAACACCTTTTACCAGCAGTTTTACTTCCGCCGAGAGAAGTCAAATTATGACTATATCCCCAGTTAAACTTTTCGGTATAAGAAATTCAAGGGTAAATACTAATTGGTCATTTTGATGAAGCTGAATGAGAAATGCAAGATGTAGTTAACACTGTCGAATTAAGGAAACATATTTCGGCCATGCAAATGTTTGCCGTCAAAGTTTCCAAATGTGCTAATAAGTATATAATAAATACGAATATATATTTATAAACAAAAAGATTATTAAAAGTTTGTTTATTTGATATCAGTGAACATCACGAATTCTTTTATGAATGATATGAGTTACAAGTATGACTATATTGAGCGTGATGTGATTGTCTTTATGTCATTTGCAGGAGCACCCAGATTCACATTTGCAGTTTGTCGGACCAGTGCAATCACATCCACATGCACATGTACCTAAAACATAAGAAAAACTCGTTTAAATAGACATTCCTATCACATTAAAATACCGTTGTTTTATTGAATGAGTATACAATTTTATGAATTAAGTGTATTCGAAGCGCCCTTTTGGGTTGGCCTCTAGCAGACATGCTGAATCCCAAAATATTTAAATCTAGTGATGTATAAAAACGTAGAAGCGTTGAAAGCTATATGGCCAAAAGGGAGTTAGAAGATTACTAAAAGCTAAATTCAGCTATGGTCAACTATGCAATAGGAACTTAAGTATAATAAGTTTCCTAATCGAAACAAGGATTTTTAGTATTTTACAAGAGACTCAATATTATTTATAAAGACAATAAAAGTATCCTTATTTTTACAAACTGTGCAGTCATCTCCAAATGTTTCAAATTTTTTTTCAAAGGAATGATTTTAATTGTGCAATATGCACATTAAACTCTTAGGGAAAATTTTAGTTTGTCACCTTACAATACAACTAAGTGAGAAATCACATTTTAGCCAAACTTAATCATACCTCAGTGAATCATGCTAGGTAGGCCAACACATGCTATATTTTAAGACGGGACATGTATGCACAAACAATAGCCAACAAAAGGAACACGCAAACTTCAACGGGGTTGATACTTTATTTTATTATACTTCATGTCAAAATGCCAGATTTTGATTGGCTAATACGAGGGAGACAATTTACTCTATCCTATGGTAAATACTCTATTACCCTTCACGGAGACGCTTGATCAAGTGTGCGCTTTATTAAATACGGATGGTTGTTATGTACAAGACGTCATAGTTTATTACTTTGAATTTGAAATTTAATAGACAGTATAACAGAACATTCAGTATAATAAATTAAATAACACATATCTGAGAGGGTGATAGAGCAGATTGTTACCCCTCGAAAAAACATTGTAAACCTTGGCTTCGCCTCAGTTGACAATGTTTTCTCGGTAACAATCTGCTCTATCACCCTCTCAGCTATGTGTTGATATATATATATATGATGACATTTGAAATTTAATAGACAGTTATAACAGAACATTCAGTATAATAAATTAAATAACACATATCTGAGAGGGTGATAGAGCAGATTGTTACCCCTCGAAAAAACATTGTAAACCTTGGCTTCGCCTCAGTTGACAATGTTTTCTCGGTAACAATCTGCTCTATCACCCTCTCAGCTATGTGTTGATATATATATATATGATGACATTGACGTTGCCAACACCGTTTTATGACGTCTTAAACTAAATCCGTTGGATGTTTACTTATTGATACTTAAATCTAAGACAGTTGGAAAGCAGGTAACGGTTTGACCCCTAGTCTAACAGCAACAATAAAGGTCACGTGACCGTGAAAATTCAGTAAAACTACGGATGAGACAAACCTCATTTTTACTCACTAAAATACCAATGAGAGAACAAGTCACGTCAAATCTACTTGTATATAATTTAATTCTGGATGTAACGCGTCTTCTGATTGGCTGACGTTGTTTTGTTTATCAGCTCATAGACATAATTTTGTCATGTGACCGTGACTTCATCAACGTTTTTTCATGGTTTACTCCGGTTTAAAATGGAATTTAGAATTAAATTATAAGAAATGACTGTAATATTTTTTCTGTCTTTTCGAAATAACATAAAAAATGTGGTGCACACTTTAAAATAACCCGCTACGCGGGTTATTCAGTGTGCACCTTATTTTGATGTTATTTCTTCATAGACAGAAAAAATATTACAGTCATTTCTTAAGTAATCAAAATTATCAAATTAAAATGAATAAAAAAGAAATACTGTAAATATGAACAAACCTGAACATCTGCAAACAACTTTACATCCGGAACATCCACAGCCACTTGCACATTTACATGCGTCTCCACATTGACAACACTTCCCGCTGCATCCTGTACCACAGATACACACGTTTGCTAAAAACGTTACATAAAGTAAAAACAGACATATTAGTGATATCAACTGACACATCCAATCTTTTAACTTTTACTTGAAATATGGCAAACATTAGCTTTATTTTACCATGCAGTTTACATTAATATTCAAGATTATGATTATTGCATGCAAACCATCAACAACATCCAGGTAAGGCAACGATCATTTGATTTTTGGAAGGGGGCAGGAGCATCGTTATGAAAATGAAACGTCTGCCTTGGTAAGACCATGGGGAAAAGTTAGCGTGAGTAGCAATAGATGAAAATGGATTTTCAATCCGCAAAAACTCTTTCTGGTCCAAAAAATAAATAAATAGTCGTTCCTTATACGTAGCAGTAATAAATAAGCGAGGCCAGGGGTGGAAGGCAGACAAAATAAAAACGATAGTGTACATTTGTACTTTCATCTCATTTGCCAATTTATTTATCAGAATTATCTTACAATTTATATTGATCGATTTTCTTATTTCTTGAGTTTATCAAAACAAATATGAATATTTTGGTAGGAGTTTTTACCACATCATTAATAAAATATGCCCTTTACCCGGCCTTAATTAATTTTACATTAATTTTGACGAGACTCTTTGATTTTTAATAACCTATAAATGCATGCATCAACATTTTTTTAGACATGTGCCGTCACAATATATTTAAAATTTGTTTTTCAGTAATCAAGACATATTGTATTCCACGTTAAATTTTATTTTATTTTTTTAGATATAAATGTAAGCTACTTACTTTCAATGCAGTTACAAGGCCCAGGCATTTTATTCGTTGAAGTTTGTCTGCTTAGTAATATGCTATAAAATAGAATGGGTGTTGTCTGGTAATATGCCGATTTTTATATAACCATTTGAGAAAATTTCGTGTGCAAAAACTATGTTATCTGAGGTCCGACATAGTGTATACTACATTTTGTATGCCATATGTCATTATCAATATTTTTTGTCTGGCTTTACTTAACAAAGACTTGGTTTAAATTAGTGAAAAAAATGTAAACGACTTCCATCATTCTACATTTTGTTTGTACTTTATTCTTAAGGTATCACTACATTTTATAACCAAAATGTATGTTGAACAACATACTGACCCTTCTTGAGAGCCTCATGTCAAAATCGATATTTTACTGCGTCATATAACATAGCAATTAGATTGAACCGGATTTTTGCACACGCTTTATGTCAGGTGATGTTTTGCACACAGATAGAGATTTTAACACGTTACCAAACACACTAATATATAACTAATGTATTGCTTGACCCTTATGGGTGTAATTTTGCAATAAAGATTACTAATAAATTAGATATGTAAAACTATGTCACAATGACATCTAGTACTAGGAATGATTAAAATATCCATCCTACACTGACAAAGCAAACATGCTGTTAATTTAAGTAAGGGTCAATAAATCTTTTCAGAACTGATATTGACCATCCGACTTATACTATTATAGTTTAAAGTTAAATGCTAAAATACGGAGTTTATTTTAATATCTAATATAAAAATATAAGGGAGTGTTACTGACTACAGTAATTAATTTTTAGATCCGACTATACAGGCGATATGGACATCCCCTCCTTTAAGTTTTTAATGTTTTAGAACGTACGGTATCGTCCTTTTTCTAAAAAAAAAAGAAGTTCATCGGAAGATACCAAGACCTTGTTGATAAATATTTCGTATCATCTTCACAAATAATACATGATGGCCTTGAAATATAGATTATAGGTACTGTATCAAGTTTGGCTTCGAGTGATATAAACACAGTACGTTGAACTACATATTTAATAACAATACAAAGCATTATGGGTACATTCCATTCTAACAGTTTGTAAATAAACAATAGCTAAATTAAGTTTGCAGACCCGGACGCGTCTTATAAATTGGAGTATTGTTACATCCTTTCTTCTTTAAATAAAAATTAAATTCAAATTCAAATTTTCAATTGACTATAAATACTGAACTTTGACTAGTGAATTAAAAATGCATAAATTGCATAATAAAAAAACATACATTATAAATGATAATATCAATTAATACTGAAAAGTTACTGTTCAATATTTTAAAGTCTGCAAAAGTTTTAATACTGTTTCGGCTAAAGTTCGTAATACTGTGCATGTTAATATTGCGCACACATTCAAAAATAGCATTTAATAAAACTAAACTAATTATGCACACTAGACAGAATCTAAATGATTCTCTGAGAGAAACACACGGGGATTATTCTGCCCCAACCGCACAGTGTGTTCTCAACTACTACTACGTAAAATTTACAACGGAACCATTAGAAGAACACCAGGGGATTATTATGCCCCACGGAAACACAAGTGTTCTATCGACTAACTCACAAAATCATTGAATTTTGATGGTCTTTTGATTTGTCTTCCTGATCTTGTCCTTGTAGTTGTGTTATTGTCCAATGTGTTTTTGTTGCGGACTTTGTTGCGGAATAGTGTTATTGTTGCAATTCTCTTGTTGTTCCATATGATCAAATTGTTCATCGTCCTCGAATTCATTTGATTCTGAATTGAATTGTTACTTTTCACATGTTTTGTTGTTTTCGCTCGCGAAATGACGGAATCTTTATATTTCTTCTAAAATTGCCATTGTATCTTCTTTGGACAGTACGTTGAACTACATATTTAATAACAATACAAAGCATTATGGGTACATTCCATTCTAACAGTTTGTAAATAAACAAAAGCTAAATTAAGTATGCAGACCCGGACGCGTCTTATAAATTGGAGTATTGTTACAGGTACTGACATTGTTTATCATCTTAATTACGTGTTATAGTGTTCTTTTATCTGTCTTTGTAAATTATTAACCTTAAATGTAACATAATTTTGTTTAGTCCATTTTTGGTAATTTCCTAAAATGTCAAAAATAGGGGTACAGCAGTCATTTTTGTGTTATCATCTTAATCACTATAAAAACAAACAAATGTAACGAAGAAGCACAAAAAGGCATACATCAAATTTAACATTTTGCTTTTTTATATTACGATATTATTTATCTATGTAAATTTCACCCATAAAGGATGGAAGGTTTTAAGTACTGGCGTAAAATCGCGCGTTTCAAATTCGCACAGGTAGACATAAAATAATTTTGTCGTTCAAAGTATGACGGGATACATAAGTACAGAGTCACGTAAAATGGATATCACAAAAAACAGACTTAACAGTAAAAGTAATATTAATAAATAAAATAATTTTGGGGTTCAAAGTATGACGGGATACATAAGTACAGAGTCACGTCAAATGTATATCACAAAAAAACAGACTTAACAGAAAAAGTAATATTAATAAATAAAATAATTTTGTCGTTCAAAGTATGACGGGATACATAAGTACAGAGTCACGTCAAATGGATATCTCTAAAAACAGACTTAACAGTAAAAGTAATATTAATAATAATAAAGACAAATAAAAGAATACTATAACACGTTATTAAGATGATAAACAACGTCAGTACGCAGAACCTATACTTCAAGACCATCGTGTATTATTTGTGAAGTTGATACGGAATATTTATCAACAAGGTCTTGGTACCTTCCGGTGAATTTTTTTAGAAAAAGGACGAGACGTTCTTTGATCCCTGGTTCATCAACTTTCTGCTCAGACACTGGTGACGTTTTAAAAGTATGAGTAGAAGCTGCAAGCTCTTGAATACCGTATAAGTTGGGAAATGTATATCCCATATGCAGGTGAAGTTGGTATATTGCTACTAAGGTGGGGGAAATTGATAATTTCAAAATTAAAATCGTCTCGTTTGTCATAGATTCTGGTACTAAGATGACTGTGTATGTCAAATTCGAGGTATAAGTCTAAAAATGAGGCGGAGGAAGCCGTGTCTGTTGTTTCTTTAATTACTAGTACTGGTGGATATACTTATGGAACCCAATCAGAAAAGTTCGGATTGTTAATGGAAAGTACATCATAACTCAAACTTGAGTTAGAGAACGGAAACGAAAAATTCAGCCGTTTCCCATTTGTAAATTTTAGGGACTTAACACAAGATAAGTAAACGTGACGCTAATCAAATCGGAGTGGCTATTTGTCCGGCTAGCCGGACGAATAATGCTAGGGCGATTTGTCCGGCCATTTCAATGCGCATGTCATTTTTGTGCGTACGGAAGTGCGTGTAATATCATCTTGAGCAGCACCAGGGGGTTCCGTGTAATCCGATCACTGATTTTCAAATTTGAGATCATGGCTGAAAACGGGGATATCAATATTTGTGATACATTTATAGAAAAATCCCCCACCTCTCACTCAAATATGGACAACTTTATGTTAAAGCTAGGAGTCCATAACTCTGTCAAGTTAACATCTTCAGACGTAATAATTTTGTACCTTTTTCAACTAGACCAAATCTTCATTTTAACTTAAAATGCACGAGTCAAATTGCAATCACAACCCATGTTTGTTTTACAAGTAATGTCTTCACTCATCTTACAATTTGATGCCATAAACAACTGATAAATAAAAAAATAAATATGGAACATATATGACTTTTTTTCTAATTATACGTTGTCCACATTGGACTATGATATATAAATTAAAGACCAATTTCAATTACCAGTAACAAGATTGATGCCCAACAATTTAAGATTCAAAACATTGCTTTTTATAAGTCCATGTATATAATTTGCGCCCCCCCAGTGCTGCGGAAGATAATATTTCACGCACACATTGTTTTGACTGGACAAATAGACCTGGTACTATTCGTCTGGCTAGCCGGACAAATAGCAACTGCCTAATCAAATCCAAGCTTGAAGCATAACTCTAGAAAGGTAAAAGTGACGCCAATGAAATTTAAACTTGATCTGTGTTTGGTAGTAATAAGCATTGTGTTTAAGTTTTCTAACATTTTGTTGGGGCAAAAAAATGTAAGAGAACGGAAACCAATTTTGGGACATACAGACAGACAATGGTGAAACTTTATGCCCCCTCCGCTATGACGCGGCAATAAAAAAGAACAACTTCATCCCTCGCGTAAACAACTCGCCCATATATACCAAAAGATCCAAACTCCAAGGTGATTTAGAGGACGGGTATTTATTAGTTCTTTATTTTATTTTCGGCTGATGATTTTGACACGCTTTTCTCTTTTGTCTTCCATTTTTGTTCTACTTTTTTTAATGTCCTTTATGGTATCTATCGCCTCCTTTTAAGTGTTTGAATGAAAAACTGACTATTAATACTATACCATGTAAATTTATACTTTCTCGCGAATGTCCCGACATATTTATGAATAAGATATATAAAAATATGTCACAATGATATTTCATAGTAAGACAAATTAATATCCATCTTATACTGACATAACATACATACTATAACATATCAAGTACGAGTCGTTATCTCTTTTCGGTATTAATATTGGCCCTGTGATTCATTGTTTAAATTTAAATTTTTAAATTAGTCGATAATTTCAATATTTGACATAAAGTTATAAAGGAATATTCCTAACTTCAATATCAAAAACTTTAATATGACTACACATGCGCTATGGAAAAGTCCCCCATATAACTATATATTTCTATATATTCGGATTATTTGATGCTTTTTTTGTTTGTTTTAGTAAATATTTTTTTATTATATTAACCCAATTTCAATCATTTAACGTGTTCTTGCTCTTATCAGTTCGATTTTTTAATAACAGTAGTTTATATATGCCGTTTTGTGTTGATTGGGCATACATTCTTTATTACAGCTGATTATTAGTGCGTCACGCCCCAACAGAACAAACAGGCTATATAGAACCGATGAACATCGAGGAACAATTTTAAAATGTAACAATCAGCATACAGTCGAGAATTGAAAAAAAAAATGTTCTTTGTAATTACACATTCATCTATACAATTTGTAACGCTCCACAAGCGTAATCCTATATGTTTTATTGTCTGGATATCCATTATATTACGTCATTACCCCTGAGACGAAGACTCACACCCCTTTCAAGCGCACTGGTCTCCTCTTAGGGTAAAGCTCTTGGTAGCTTCTTGATCTTTTTAAACCACCTCGGACGTAAAACCACTCGTAGTCAGCACTACTATACAGTTTGATTGTGGTACAAGTAAGTGATAATGTAAACTAAACAACGTGCTGTGTTTCAAGTTAATACAGGTCAATAGGAACAAATATCCTACTAAGACATATAATGCTTACTTCTAAATGATGCGTGCCTTGTGAGACAAAAATTAACAATTCCAAGTATTTGGTTTCAACCAGAAAACAGAGCAATGCTTGACCTAGCGGGGGATTGAAACAACGACCTGAGTCCTCATGCATTCACGGAGAGCACTCTGCTAGAAACAATCTAGGCATAGGCATGTAGATTATTTGAGAACAATCTGATTCAAGTACAGAACATGTATCCATGGTTTGCTAATCTAAGCGTAGAAATAAATGATGTACTTCAATCAGATTGGTTTGATGAACGAGTTGAAATGTAATGTTAAGGTTTAATGTTTATAGCAAGTAGATGAAATTGGTTCTTTTTTACTGTTTATATATTCCTGCTTTTTTTAACAAGTTTGTGAATACCAGATCATCCTGTATTCAGAAACGAAAGCTTTAAAACGAAAATCATTTATTAAAATTGAATTGACATTTATGGACGTAAAACAGTTTTAATACAAAATAAATATTTTTCAACATCAAAAATATTAAATATTAGTGTTTTTGATATTAGTTAACATCAACAATTAATTATGAATGATATGAGTTACAAGTATGAATAGATTATGCACGTTAACGTTGTGGCTGTCTTTGTTTCATTTGCAGGAGCACCCAGATTGACATTTGCAGTTTGCCGGATTAGTACAATCACATCCACACACACAAGTACCTGAAAAATAATAAATACCCACTAAATGTAATTACTTTTTTGTGTACCACATTGAATCATGCTGTTTATTGTTTTGTACATAAATCAGGCCGTTAGTTTTCTCGTTTGAATTGTTTTATATTTGCCATTTACACATGTATACATGAACACAGCAAGTTTTTGTTGTTTAACTTCTCTTCTGAAACGAATTTTTAAGTCCAGGATATTCAGAATCAAACATTTGTTTTAATCACGACTCCCCTCCCCCTACTTTCCTTAATCAGGGCCTAAGCAAAAGAAATGAAACATATTTTATATCAGGACGATTTCGAAACAATATCATAGGTAAAAAAAAAAACAAGCAAACAAATAAAATTATAATACGGTCAAATATTTCATCCAATAATACATTTATTTTTTACCTCCTAATTATGCAATTCAAAGCAGTTATTGAAAAGGGGGAAAACTGAAACTACTATTGTGTTTTTTTGTTTTTTTTGTAAAATTGCAACATGATAAATTATAAGTTGCTATATATGTACAATTATAAGTACATAATCCTACATTATATCGATACTCTTTGCTTATATGATGGCATTGGACAAGATCATGCCTTCAATGATTGTTTATGACGTCTTAACACTAAATCAGTTGATGTGTACTTATTGATATTGTAGTCTAGGAGAACAAGTCATACCACATCTTCTTATTATATTTGTGTTAAAATTCAAATTATGAAAATAAAATGGATGTCTAAAAAAAAGGCTGTAAATATGAACAAACCTG